AATAATAGCGTGGAGAATAGTCGCACTTTCCGCGGAGAAAACGGAGCATTGGCCAGGGAGCCGGAAAAAATGGCTTTCAAATCCGACTTTTCCTCTAGCTTTAGAGCCGTCCGTGTATCGGTGGTGGTGGTCGTGGTACTGAGTCCCTAGAATTTCGGTGGCGTAAGTACGCAGCTCCGGACTTTGAAACGCCTGGCTACAGAGAAATCAACGGAAAGTGGAGGGTCCTCCCATACCCTGGCTCCGCTCCAGTGGACTTCTGACACTGGGGGAGTTTCTGAAGTCTGTTGCTCTCTTTGTTCAGTTCCGGTTGTTTTCTCTTGGAAACTGATTGTACCTGAATGGTAAGACTCCAAGCTCCACGCAAGCCGAGTCTGCAGGGGTAGAAGGGAGAAACCCTGATACAGTGCTTTGTTGTAGGTGGAAGTCAGTCTGGTGACGAAGAGTTCAGCGGCTGAGCAAAAGAGCTCTATCCCATAGAATATTCTGCTGTTTACAACGGCTTTGGCGACCATCAGGGTGAGTTCTCAATTGCTACATCGATGCAGGCTGGAGAGGGTATGGATCAAATTCAGTCTTGTACGGCAACTGTTCCGGATTTCATTAAAGTGAAGGTCGAAGCTGAGTTTTCGATCCAGAAGTGCTTCGAGAATCCGAACGTTTTTACAGAAAGAGATAAGCATACCATCACATTTGATCGGGTCTTGTATGGGGCGATGTGAAAAGTGGCATTGTGTGACGTAACACTTTTCTCGGCTGACAACACAAACCTGCATTGAGATGCCCATTTATGGACGAAGGAGACTGCGGGCTGTAGCTTTCTGCGGAGAGCCTTTAGAGTAAGACCTACTGTTAGGAGCACAATGTCATCGGCATAGACAAAGATAAATATCTCTTTTGGGAGTCGAACGAATACCCCGTTCATCGCGACCAAGAAGATGGTGGCCGCAATTATAGAGCCCTGTGGGACACAAGTTTCTTCCATGCGAGTTGATGACCGATGGTTACCTAATATTACCTGAAAGGACCGGCCCGGAGAAAGTTCCTGATAAAAAATAGAATGCTACCTCCCAGTGTTGGCTAAAATCAAGATCAGAATATCAAAATCAGCAATCTTCCAAGATCAAGATCACCTAAAATCATAGGCACCAATATCACAAGCCATCATCACCACGAAAATCACACGTGATTTTCGACCAATATCAGCCGTGATTTTCGATTCTCAAAATCAACCAGCATCAAAATCAACCAAGATCAAAATCATCGAAAATCATAGGATTAGAAGATATGTGAAATTCTAGAGTTTGGGGCATTCCGAAATTCAAGTCAACATTCCGGATGAAATTAAAATTGTGGATTTCAACCCAAGATGGCTCCCAAATCCAAGATGGCGGACCAAAATCTAATATGGCGGCCCCTGGACAGGGAATATGCATCTAAATCTATGCAATATGGGTATCTGCGGAATGGGCTCGCTAAGTGGAAGTGGAAAATTGACATCCGCCGCCAATTTGGAATTCAAGATGGAGGACCAAAATCCAATATGGCGGCCCCGGACAAGGAATATGCATCTTAACCCATGCAATATGGGTATCTACGGAAATTTTGGAATCCAACATGGTGCACCAAAATCCAATATATTGCATGGGTTTAAATGCATATTCCTAGTCCGGGGGTCGCCATATTGGATTTTGGTCCGCCATATTGGATTCCAAAATTCCAGTGGATGGCAAATTTTTTGCTTCCCCTCATCGAGCCCATTCCGTAGATATCCATAGTGCATGGGTTTAGATGAATATTCCCTGTCCGGGGCCGCCATATTGGATTTTGGTCTGCCATATTGAATTCCAAAATGGCGGTGGATGTCGGATTTTTACTTTGACTGTAATACCAATCTATTGATTTTCCGTTTGGTTTTTGTTACCGCAAAATCAGCTAAGGTTAAAATCACCCTTGATTTTCTGCTTTATGATTTTGCTACTCTCAAGATCAGCTAAGATAATATCAGCCTTGATTTTCTGCGGTGTGATTTTTCTACTCTCAAGATTAGCTAAGATAAAATCCGCCGTGATTTTCTGTTTGTGATTTTGCTGATCTCAAGATCAGCAGTGATTTTCAACCGTTCCTGATTTTGGATTTTCTTGATTTTTTCCATCACTGCTACCTCCTAATGCCCAGTCCGCCAGCTGCTGGATAACCCGTGGGGACCACGCACGGTTGTACGCCTTAACATGGCCCATAGATGCGACTTCTACGTGGGAACTATTGTTCATTGCATCCTGAAGGACGTTGCCGAGCCCGGCAAAATACGTCCCGGTTCCTCCCGGTCTGAATGCATGCTGCCGATGATGAAAATTATCCTCTAGGAATCTCATTAGACGGCGGTTCACCATCCGCTCAAGAATCTTGTATAGACAGCAAGTTAGTGAGATGGGGTAGAAGTCCTTTGGAGTTGGACTGGTAACAGCATTTTTTCGGATGGGTTCTATCAGACTATGTGTCTAGTCCAAGAGCATCTCATTCTCCAGCCAGATACTGTTGCGGATCCTCAATTTGAGCATAGACGAAATACGCCAACACCATACCGGTTCTGCTTCAGAGTGACAAGATATCGCCCTCTCAGATATTCAGATTCATCGGGAAAAGCAGACCACTCTCAATGTGTGTCACGCGATCGTCTGTTTACTCGGCAGCAACCATTGTGTGGTCCTCCCCATTTTTCTTCATCAGCAGTTTTTTCAGTCGATGCGTCGTCGACTTTGGAAAGCAACCGTTTCGTGATGAATGTGTGAGTGCTGACCACGTTTTGCGTCCATTGCTGCAATGGAAGCGCTCTGATCCCCGTTGGCGAATCTGCCATACAATGAAACCACTGGAAGCGGCTTCCGTTCTGGTGGAGGAAGCTTATTGGATAGCGGAAGATAAAATGTTTATTGTGTTATACCTTCTTTTTTACTATAGTTTTAAGAATCTTCGGTTCTGTAAAGTTAATTCGGTTGAGCCTTATCAAATAAATTAATTTAAAAAAAAATAAAGGTCATCGATTTTTACTGCAAGAAATCTTGAGCATATAAGAAGGACTGCTACCGGTTGCCTTCCAGATATTAAGACTTATCGAAAAAGTAGCCATTTTCGGGAAGAGGCTCTGCGTTTAAAAGGGTGTAGTATGGAATTCAGAGCAAAGTGGAAATTTGTCAGCACCCGATTGCAAGAAATTCTAGACTTCGTTTTGAAAACTAGCCTTTCTCCTCAAAATTTATATCACCTTTAGTAAAGTGGAAAATATATTTATCAAGCAGGCCTGGGTTCAATCCCAGTCGGTGCCGCCGGGATGTTCTGAGGCATAACATCTCTGATCACGCCTTTGCAGAGGATGATCAAATCCACTATTTTTCTGTTGTTACCCGCATTACATAAGCGGGTGTAATATTTTCAAATCAAAATCAAAGTTGCATAAATGTGTATCGAAGTTAATTTGGACATTCTTTTTAGTACCAACAGTCAACCATGCTAACATGAAAAACCCGAAAAAGTTTGTGTGTGTGTCTGATATGCAACTTACGTACATATCTCCACAACCCGATAGGCTATGATTCCCATCACATTCCGCTCGGTACGAGAGTAGCAAAACAAAAACAAAAACCCCGAACCAAGAGGCAACAACCTGTCCGTTGTGCGGGGCGGTGCGAGGGGGAAGCCACATTTGCCGAATTGAATTCATATGTGCATCGTTATTAGCCGGTTTTCGGAGGCTGTGGCTCGCTGATGATTGTTGCTTGGAGGCTTGGATTGGGAGTCATTTTAAATTTTCATTTTTTGATTACTCCAGCCGTCGGATTATGCAAGGCTTATAATTATAATTGAGTCATTATTGACGTGTGTGTGTGTGTGTTTGCGTGTGTGATTTTGCTGCTAATTATTGATAATCTCTGTATTCTCCCCTCTGGGCAGGTGCCGGATGGCAACCGCGGTGGTCCTCCTTTGTGGACGTTTGAACTAGAGTACCTGCAGATCGTCGAACTAGCTCTATTTAGGTCACAGTAATGATTAGCTTATGCAGGCATAGCTCTACGTATTTTGAAGTAACGAACGGAAAATAAAAGATAGATAGCTTCTCACTGAGATATAGCTTATCAATTTGTCACAGCTTTGACGAACAATGGGTCAGTCGGTGTGTTTCGTCAGAGCCTCTCATGCACGTTGGTTTGCTACGGTATCAAATTGTTCAACGTTGGTACATCAACCATCACTTGCCGCAGATAAAGTACGGGTAAAAATGGTGTGAAATGTATCGGCCAACAAAAGGCGATTGACGGTGTTCAATTTTGTAACGATTTTATTCCAGAGATATTGGTTATTTGAAGTTTCGACACAGTCGTCGGAATTCCTCTGAAAGCGTTCGAACGGAAAATCAACTTGAATGAAATAAAGGTAGCCAATGGGGAAATTGCATTTGATACAGTTCATCTCAACAGAGTCTGCATTGAAGCCAGACACGGGTACCTTCTTCTTGCATAAACCTCGATCCTGCCGCTAAAACCTCCGGCACCCCTAATTGATCGCCTTGATTGCTAAACGCCAACTGCACAGTTTTTCTACTAGAGGAACAATTTTCCAATTTGAAAATCACCCCATTCAACAATCTTACCCGCTGCTACTGATGACAGCCGATCGTAAAACTGCGTGTGATTGCAACGACGATGAAGAAATTGCACCTTAAAATCAAAAATCGCGTAAAAGCACAACAATAAGCAGCTGGCGTTTCATCGTTTAGTTCACAGCTAACGGCCGATGTACCAATTGTTTTGAATTTCTTCCAACCTTCCATCGGTTTGTATTGTGTCTCGTGTCGAAACGAACGCCGGCGGTGGAGATTTTCAATTTTCGGTTACCAACCAACAAATTGGCTAATGAAATTCAAAGTGTGAACGAATTATGCTGAGAATTGGCTGCTGATTGAAGTGTTTCATTTTCCTTTTTCTCTGTTTTTTTTTTCGCAGGCTGGAGCCAGCGGATTTTCCAACTCAGAGGAACGCCGAGATCGTGTGTGGTACGTAATTTCTACCTATCATAGTTTTCTTTTCTGCCCCTAGAAAATCCACGTGCATCCGTGGTGAAGAATGCAACGAGTCGTTTATATCTAGCTCGTGTTACCAATTACCTACGATCTGGTTAAGCTGAAACCATTTTCCCCCTCACCGACAAGGAAGCCAGTCGGTATCGGATGGCGGATTGATTCGATTTCATATTGATGTTGAATAACAATTGGAAAGGTTTTCCGCCATTTGATCGTCCGTTGTCGACGTCGTTACTCACCCGGGAGGTTTTCTTCCACCCGGCATCCTCAGTATCTATATCTGTAACTTGAAATTGTCTGTGTAAGTGACTCAAATTGCCGCAAACCGCAATCTTAATACTGCCCGTGAATGGGGGGAAGAGACAAGGGAGATTGTGCTCAGAGGGATGATTCATCCGAAGTGATTGTTTTGAGTGGCGAAATGAGTCACACATGGTCTCTTTTTAGCAGGTGTTTGAGATAATCGTTCCTCTGTTGTAGGTCCAGACTTTTACATGGTCAAGCGAACGAAAGATCTACGCGTCTCGCTAATTATCTGAACTGTAAATTAGATGGTGTGAATTTGTATTTGCGAACGCAGATTGTGTGTTTTTCCACAGTGACTGGTTGTTTACTACGCTAACAGGAGAACAACAAAAGATTTTGTTGAACAAATTGCAATCTACAGGTGAATATTTTTTTAAAGACTGGAACGCGCAATAATTGGTCGACAATTGTCAAAATCGTTTCTTTCAGTCAAAATTCATATCACAAAAATTTTCTTATTTTTCTTTTGGTAGTTCAATTCATATATTTAAAGGAAAAAATGTTCGTTTATTCTTTTGGTTTGCCAAATCCGCCACCTTCACCTTCATAAACGTTGACAACCCGGCTTGTTTCTTGGCCCGCTGCACAGTAGTATGGAAGGCATTGAGCTTTCCTGCGACGTCCTGGATGGAGAGGTTAGGATTCCGCTTATATTTCACTGCCACCTTCTTCGTCGTCACTGCCACGTCCGAATTACGATTGCCGCCGCTTACAGGCTTCCTAGCGGTCGACAAAAGCTCCTCGAACACTTTTAAAACTTTTGTCACGGTCGATTTGACCACATCCAGCAATGTTGTCAACTTGGCGTGTGAGAACGTCGGATTCTCTTGCTGCGCGAGCAAAATTTTGACACGCTGCTCCTCTTGCTTGGACGTCATTTTGAAAACTGGAGAGCAAACGGTGAAAACTCATCATAGCAACCATTGTATACACACTCAACTTCCAAATACAGCATTTCAGGTTTTTTTTAATGCATTTTTAACAGAAATACACCAATTGGAAGTAGACCAATATTTGTGCGTTCCAGTTTTTAAATACCTATAGTATAATAGTGAGACTCCTATAAAATACTAGATTCACCACATACCAAAAAAATATGAAAATTACATGCGACGTAAACTGTTTTTTTTTTCCTATGTTGGGGACATAATACCACCGCGACCATTACTTTGATCTATTGTGGTGTATCCTCTTTTTATTTATGCCATAACGTAGCGGTAAGCCACTATTGTTTGAGTAACTACCACTACTGTTGTAAGCAATCATCCCAAGCAGGTAATACATTCCTTATGAAATTTATTACCTGATTGGGAGCAGCAGCCCAGATTTCCCAAGGTCTCATCAGACCCTTATCAAGATATCTGCATCGTTTATGAAATAGTGCAACACAGTCACACAGCAAATGTTCAGAGCTTTCACTCTTTAAGTTACAAAAGCGACATTTATCTTCATGAAGTTTACCAATGATTTTCAGGTGATATTTACAAGGACAGTGTCCTGTTATCAAACCAGTGTATGTACTCAAATCTTTTTTTGAAAGATTAGGTAACTTTTGTGTATGAAAAGCGTTCGGCTTTATAAAACGTTTAGATTGCCGAGAATTTAAGGTACTGGTCCAGTTGTACTGTACCTTTGTTTTTTCCCCAGTTTTTTAGCACCATATTTAAAGCACAAAAAGAAAGTCCAAAGAATGGTTCAGGACCGATGAATTTCGTGGATGACCCTATTTTTGCCAATTGATCAGCTTTTTCGTTTCCTTCGATTCCACAATGACCAGGAACCCAATAAAGGTTAACCGTATTTCGACAGGACAGTTGCTGTAATAGTTTAGTACATTCCCACACCAGTTTTGACGTGTAAGTTTTTGATTTCAAAGCATTCAGCGCCGCTTGACTATCTGAACAAATGCATATATTCGCATTTTTATAGTTTCTTTTATGCAAATCGCTGCACATTCTAAGATGGCATATATTTCAGCTTGAAATACTGTCGGCCAATTTCCCATCGACACCGAAAAGTTAACCCCAGGGCCGGTAATACCAGCCCCGACCATATTATCTTGTTTCGAGCCATCTGTATAAAAGATTAATGATCCAGGACTAATATTCAGTCTTCCTGCATCCCAGTCAACGCGAGTCACACAAGGAACTTGGAAATTATGGTTGAAATAATGTCGCTTTAGCATGCAATCTTCGTTCATCAATATTAATGGACTTATCTTAAACTCTTTTAGAATGCTCAAATGTCCAATAAGATCTCCATCGAAGAAATTCATGTGTGAGCCTTAGAGCACTTTTCTCTGCATCCAGTTGAATAAATTGATGAAGAGGAAGGATATTGAGTAAAGCATCCAAGGCTGTAGAGGGAGTATTGCTCCAGTTATGGAAATAGTAGCAAGCCTTTGTAGCTTGTTTAGTTTGACTTGTGCCGTTTGTTGCTTAGTTTTCGGCCACCATATAAGTGAGGCGTAGGTAATCCTGGGTTTAACTATAGCCGAGTATATCCAGTGTATCATATTTGGCTTCAGACCCCATTTTTTTTCCAAACGTTCTTTTGCAGGTCCAAAAAGCATTTGTTGCTTTTCCTATTTGTTGATCAATATGTTTCTTCCAGCAGAGTTTACTATCTAAAGTTACTCCTAAAAACTTTACTTCTAAAGATAGTGACGTCTCCTAGTTTAAGATCATTGATAGAGATTTTACGTCTTTTAGTAAAAGGTACAATAGTTGTTTTTGTAGGATTGATATTCAATCCCTCATCTTTGCACCACGACAGTGTGAATTTTAATGCTTTTTGCATTCTTTCGGAAACAACTTTATCGAATTTTCCACGGACTATAATGACAATGTCATCCGCAAACCCAATTATTTCGAATCCTTGGTGCTTTAGTTTTATAAGAAGGTCATCAACAACTAGGGACCACAGAAGGGGAGAAAGAACACCTCCTTGAGGACAGCCTTTTACAGCTGTTACTTTCACTACTGAATCTCCTAGATTAGCTGATATTTCTCTTTTGGATAGCATTTCTACAACCCAGTTGATTATGTTTTTATTAAAACCACGATTTCTCATGGCGCTTATAATCGACGTGAAAGATGCATTATCAAATGCACCTTCAATATCAAGAAACGTTGCTAGTAGAATGTCCTTAGCCGCAAAGGATTTTTCTATTTTATTAATAAGAGTATGAAGAGCTGTTATTGTTGACTTGCCTGACTGGTAAGCAAATTGTGTCTTACATAATGGTTTATTAAGAAGTATTTCTGATTTGACATATTCATCTATGAGTTTTTCCATTAATTTCAAAAATATTGATGACAGGCTTATTGGTCTAAATGATTTTGGTGAAGATTTATCTCTTTTGTTCGCCTTTGGTATGAATACCACTGGGACTTGTCTCCATTTTTTTGGGATGTATCTCAATAAGAAACTAGACTTGAACAATTTAACTAAAACAGGAATTATTATAGATTTACAATTTTGAATATGTGCTGGAAAAATTCCATCTGGGCCAGGGGATTTGAAAGAACTAAAAGAATCTATCGCCCATTCAATTCATGAGTTTGTAAATATTCTAATGGCAAAGTTTTCAGCCTCTTCATTTGACATTTCTAGCCCACATAGTGAGACATTTGTTTCGGTAGATCTATCACGTTCACCACGGTCTGAAGATGTGGCACTTTGCATGCAATCATGATTTTGTAGTTGATCAAAAATTCAAGAAAATTCACTAAGTATCGTACGCTTTCGCTGAAACGTCACTACGTTAGGCTCAATTATGAGTTCAAGCGAGTTAGCCGTCGATGCTATTCGCGATATCAACGAGGGATTCAGAGGAAACTCAAGTCGCACCCGAAGTCATTCTGGAATTACGTAAATGAGCAGCGCAAGGAATCCGGCCTACCTTCTTCAATGGTGTTGAATGGAGCAGTTGCTTCCACTCCTCAGCAGATCTGTCGCTTGTTTTCTGAGAAGTTCGCCAGTGTTTTCACGAATGAGAGATTAACTGACGAACACGTTACCCTAGCAGCTAGTAATGTTCCACTGTACGGTCAAACATTGGGTGCGATGGATGTCAACGTCGAGATGATTTCCACTGCCGCATCACAACTCAAGTCGTCCTTCAATCCAGGACCCGATGGCGTTCCATCCGTATTCCTGAAAAAGCATATCGCCAGCTTGCTGATGCCCATGCTTCACCTAATTCGATTGTCCATCTCGAGTGGTACATTTCCATCTTGTTGGAAATTCGCACATATGTTTCCTATCCACAAAAAGGGCAGCAAACGGGATGTGGACAATTATCGTGGAATTACGTCGTTGAGCGCAGTTTCGAAGTTATTCGAGTTAGTCATCATGGAGCCTCTACTCTCTCATTGTAAGCAGTATCTAAGTGGTGATCAACACGGCTTCACTTCCGGTCGTTCTACTTCCACAAATCTGCTGTGTTTAACATCGTATCTTACGGAAAGCATGGCAGAGAGGACTCAAACAGACGTCATATACACCGACTTGTCAGCTGCCTTCGATAAGCTAAACCATGCCATCGCGATTGCCAATTTACATAGACTTGGGGTCAGCGGCAACCTCTTGCGATGGTTTCGTTCATATCTCACTGATCGGCAACTGATGGTTGCCATTGGTGACAACCGGTCCAATATCTATCT